TCAAGGGTTAGGTGTAACTACAACCTCGCCTTAACAGTTACGCACACAAATCCCAAAAACCCTGTGGCAACCGTTTGGTGTAAGCATATGAGCTCCTATGTCAGCATGTTGGAGAGTGGTCGGACGGTTTTCAAACCATTGCTACTCAACTTCGCCATCAATGACGCTGTAGTGAGCAATACCCATGTTTTGAGGAATGTCCATGGTGTCAGGGTTTTATGTGAGGGCCTCTAGTGTGGGGTTGGTGGCAAGCCGGGCTGCTACTTGCAGGTTCATGGGACTTAATGAGGTTAACAATGGACATACTGGGGGTGTAAGGAGTTATACGTGTATCGCTAAGGCCCCCTGGCCCTAAACCCATAAACCATTATATCATATGCCGAGAGCCTCAATCTGGCTTTAGGAGATCGAATTCCCACGGAACCTCCGCAGACGGGGCAATGGAGCTTGCGAAGAGTTTAGGATCCAGGTTCCGGGGCTGCGTAATGCAGAGGCCGACATGAACACCAAGATTGTTCTGGTCCCAGATTCCTCGTATGATTACACCATAGAGTACTGCAAACCTCACATAACATAGGCACTTAGGCACCTCTAGTAGAGTGGTTTATATGCTGATCCACCTGCAACTCTGACCCAGAAGGGTATTTCCCTGCAGTATGTGGCCTGAGGGGCCTGACAAACAAGTGCCTAAACCCTAAACCAATGCTCGCGGTGCCCAACTCGCTGTGCCCTGACTTGCTGAGAAAAGCAACTGAAGCAACGACAAGAACAACACAGCAACACCAAGCAGAACCACACAGCACTGATCGGATGTAAACTTATAATTTTGGCATGTGGGCAGCGGCCGTATGTAGACTAACGGTCTTTGCCCCCGTGCCTCAAACTCAGAAAAGCAGACTGCACGACACGTGCGATGTAAGGCTCTTGGGGAACATGCTGCGGCACATGGTGTTCCAATAGAACATGCAGTGAGGGATGGCCGTCGCCTTCTGGCGCTTGGCAGCAAATGCCGGGCTTCCTGCAGGTGACGCCCCCTAAAGTCGCCCCCCAAAAGTCGCCTCCGCAAGCCCGAATCCCTAAATACTCGATTAGACTGGTGATTACACATCCTTTTCCCTGCATAAGTCGATAAGGATTTCTCTAAAAATACGGCTCTTCGAGCGCGGGTTAGTTGCAAGAGAGTTGTTCCGCAAACCCTGAGGCTTCTGATGCAAGTTACCATGATTTCAGGATTTTACAAGGTTCTACAGGGTCTAACGAACATTCCGGACTTTGGTTTTTGTACGGTTTGCCGGGGCCTTCTTTTTTTAATGTTTAGGGTGGCAGGAATTGCAAGGCTTTCGGATATAGGAGTGAAGACATGTCATTTCAGGGATCCGATCCAGGATGTAGGCCCCGAACCCCTGACTCCCAAATCCGTAAGAGCCTAAACCCTGTCGTTGCAGCATGACAAGACTTTCACAGACTCCCTGGACCCTAAAACCCATGGAAGCAAGAGTCGCCTAACACTGGAAATCATGGTACCGACTGCAAAGAGGTGTCCTGGTCCCATAGCCATGGCGCTCACATCACCCATCACTATTAGTACGAGCGACATTGTCATACCATCGTCATTGCCTCATTGCCCCTCGAATGCTGCTGAATATACGGATGGAAATAACGAACCCCTAAACCAAGTCCAATTAATCTTGCACCTATTTTGCTCAACGCAAGGGAGTGCTCAGAGGAACTGCGAGTTTGCGATTTGACGTAGCTTGCAGAAGCAGGTGGGCCGGGGCTGTGACTTTAGCAGCTGTTTACCTTACATCCTCATAGTTGGGTGTGTATTCCCTACAAAAAAAGTAGGTTATGGAAGGGTCGTAGCTAAAGATTTGGGATTGACCAGCCTTTCGGCTTCCAGGTTATAGGTTTTAACAGGCTTACTGCTGTTTCTGGCGTGGCATAGAGTCTGTGCATGACCTCTGGGGGCGGACCTGGCCGTACGACAGGGGATCCCAAAACGAGACAATCAATTGTTGCAGGCATCCCAGATTGGAGTCCACAATGGAACAAGAGTTCCCTTCGTGAGAGATGCCGCGTAGGCTCTCTGTTGCCGGCCACCTTGTGGCATGGAGATCTGTTCACACGTGGGCATCGGTGCCTCCTACAACAAACTTCGCAGGAGCAAGAAGCGAAGCATCAAGAAGAAGACGTGAAGCTACATACGAACCCCAACGGTACAGCTCCATTGCAAGTGTCTATATGTGTCTATGAGTTAGCATTCATTTCTGCTTTAGGGGGAGGTATATGGGGCATCCTTATGGTGCCATTCTTGCTGCAGAAGATCCTGAACTTGACCGCCCAACTGAAAGTATGCGACTTCGGATGGCTGTCCCAGCTCAAGCTCATGAAAGTGCTGCGGGGGCTCGGTAGTCTTCAGGCTTGCATCAGGAATCGGACTTTTCGGGTTGAAAACGCTGTCTGCGCATCATAGCATCACGCTGTCTGCGAGTGCAGTCCCAGGTTTGTAGCCCGGGGCTCAAAATGGATTTGATTTGGCGCTTCTGAGCTTCTCATAGAGTTTCTTTCTTACAACGATGGGCTTATGTCTACTGAGGGGCCCAAGGTTACTTCTCAGAAGCGTAAAGGCTCAGGAACCACGGACTGAAAAGCAGGGCTGGCACGAATCTTGCGACACGTTGTACAAGGCGACGTTGGCCTTGAATACGTCCAAAGCTGCAGAATACACGACTTCATCAATATCATCATGAAACCCCATGAGTTCAGATGTGTCATAGTCCACGGAGGCATTCTTGCCTGAACTCGTTGGCCGAACGTCTTCAAATTCTTCCGCATGACACTGTCCCCCAAACATTTTGTGGAAAAGGCAGATGGACAGGTCCCACTCCTCCGTAAGGCCCACGAAGGCGAAACCCTCCCGCACTCGTCGGGAAGCTTCCTTTGCATCCTCGGAGGTCATGGGCCGGTGGACGTCGAGAGGAGTTCCTGCTGTCGATCGCTGGTCCACTTGTGTCAGCTGGTAAGTCATCCCCCCCTTCATTAGGTCCGCATACTCCAGAAAGGGCGGACGTGTCATGTTATTAAAAGTGTCGGACCAGTCAAAGCAACCAGGACCATGGCCCCAAGAATGGTAGAGTGAAAGAACTCGTTGATCGGGGTCACGGAAGAGCCCCACCAATCGGCCTTTTCTGGCTGCGTAGTCTGTGTAGTTGCCGAGGCCCTGGTGTGGAGGAAATACGCACTCCATGCCTGAGCACGATGATGGACACACGTTGGTGAAGAAGTTCGGCCCGAAACAGGGGCCCAGAGTCGTGCTGTCGACTTTGTGCAGTGCCAATCCTGGACAAACACCAGGCAAGTTGATCAAGCTGTTGACGAAGGAAGTTCCACACTTTGGACAATGGAACCTCAGCTAAAATTAAAGCGGGAGCCTCACAAGTCAGCCCTGAAAGCGTACAGCCATGAACGAAATAGTAGGAGATCAGGTATACACAGCTGCTCGGCGTAATTCACACAAGGGGCCACCATAGAGGCTCCGCAGCTTTTAGGCGTTCTTCCGGAAGCCCAAGTTCTGTCTCCGTGCCTGTCCAGAAGATGCTCATGATCACCGGTTTGTTACGTATCGTTTAAGGACCTTCCTCGCTCCCCGTAGTCTTTTAAAGGCAGAGAAGAATCGAAGAATCGCCTTGTCCCCGTACACTTCGTATACTTGCTATGCTGTCCCCTTTGAAGGTGGGGGCCCTGCCCACCTACACCTAGCATTCGAATATCTTGGCCCAAAGAAGTCACCCGCAGATTTTCGACGGTCAGAGGGGGCACAGTAAAAGGACAACTCCATGAAATAATCTGGGTTGTTGTATTCCTGCAAGGTTTGGCTCTGGGGCTTAGCAATGACCGCTCTGCATCCTCCAAATGGTCGGTGGTCCACTAAAGATGTCGGGCTGTTCTACAGTTGGGTCTGTTTTTCGAAGCCTGCTTTTGGCTTCGGACGAGCGCGCTGAGCCCAAGAAGAAGCAGCGTGCCAGGGACACGTCATCGCATCTAGAGTCTTATGTAAGGGATGTTTTAGTTCTTGTGTTGGACGATCAGGAACACACATCCACCGGCGCTTTTGCTATGCACATGGTATGGAATTCGGCAGAACGAAAAGCTGATTTCCCGCCTGTCAGAACCAGCTTTCGTTGAAGCAGCTGGGTCTCCCAAATGTCATCAATATGTGCTGCATCCAGAATGCAAAGCATCGCAAAAAGGCAGAAAGCTCGGGCGGTCTTGAAAGCAACGGACATGTTGCGAGATGAAACGGTTCGAGATCGGCTATAAGAGAGTGGCTTGAAAAGTGGCAAGTGCACGCGACACGCATACCTTGCTTTCACGGAAGCCAGCTGAGCAACATGTTCTTGGATCAGGAGTTTTGGAGTTTCCGGACCCTACGGCCGAATCACCTGAAACTCAAATAGCCTGAGGCATGTCATGCGCCCTGCTTCCAGCCTGGCCTCCCACTACTCAGCCTGCAACTGCCCTGAAGCCCTGAAAACTTCACCGCTAAAACGTGCTAAACGCACACAAATCCTTGAGCACTGAGCTCGCACAGGGCACGCTTCAAACCAGTGTCCCGTTTTTGGGGTCTTTACAGACATTGAAGCTTTGGAGACCTGTCAAAGTGAAGACACTGTTCTGCCAAAACCCCTGACATAAAAACAACATGCTCGCCGCTTTTTGGGGGGCAGCAAAAAGCAAACTGCAGCCCTGGGCCCAACCAAAGTCTGTGAGGTAACGTGCAAAAAAGGGGCATCCTTGACCCTGAGCAAACAGAGCAAACAGAACTGCAGCCAATTCGAGTGCCGAAGTGTCATGATCCCCTGGGGCTCTCTTCCTATGCATCGGATTCCTTTTCCTGTCCGCTCCGTGTGGCTCTCGACAGGCGTTGCTCGCTGGCTTAGCTGTCGCTGAACTGTCCGAACTACAGCACTTACGGCGGCAGGAGGTAGCTTAGCTGGTGCTTAGCTGTCGGGGTTGAGCTTCTTGAAGGTTTCCACAGCAGCCTGCATGTTCTCCTCGCTGCCGAAGAGTGCGGGGGCCCGACGTTGGAAGACCTCCTGCGCAAACTTGTAAATGGCCGTGCTCTTCTCTGCGACGACCGTGGCCAAGGCCCGCTCCTCTTCGGTCCAGTCGAGCTTGTTGTCACCGTTATCGAAAATCTCTGGCACACTTCTTCGGAACATGGCAGCTAGCTGCTGAGGTGTCAGGCCGTAGACCATGCCAAGGCTCACCAAGCTTTCGTCTAGCCTCTCGGTGATGCCAACTAGGTCGAACTGCGTAGCAAGAGTGAGCTTCGCCTTTTCGACCGAGCCATCCCCTAGCCAAGTCTCGTACTCACAGCACGAGCGCAAGACGATGGACATGGAGGTGGATCCAGCATCCCGATTTGAAGCCTGTTGTTGAAACTGCTCATACGACCAGTTGCCGGTGACGAAGTCCCTGCGGAACTCCAACCAGGACTTGAAACCCTGATGTGAAGCCGCCAGGTTCCCGAGATCAGCGCTGAAATTCGTGAAGAAGCCGTTCCCGCCGAAGTAGTAAAAAGAACGAAGCCTCTCGATGGGCTCCCGGAGGATCGTCGTCACGAGTAAGCGCTTGTGATGCAAGTCTGAGGGCAACCAAGAACGGGCCCACTCCACTTTCCAAAGTAGCTTTAAGCGTTCCGTAGCCGGCCACAGGTTCTGCACGTCGGCCATGTCCGATGTCAAGGTGGTTATGTTCTGACCCGAAACCGCCTGGCGCATCACAGCCATGCCCGTGTGGAAGGTGCAGCTGTGCGCAATGCCAGGGCAAGAGTCATTCTTCCCACTTTGTTGGCAACACCACTCAAACGTCGCCAGCTCATGGGGGTACCGTTGCTCGCAGTCCCAAACTGGGTCCCCACAGTCCTTGCTACAAGAATTCCCTTCGTGAGAGATGGTGTCAACGTAGGCTCGCCACGTGCTGCCGGCCACCTTGTGGAACTTCACGAACAAGGAATGAGTTGAGTCGCCGGTGTCCCTGTCTTCCAGCTTCAGAGTGTGCTGCAGGAGGCTGAACTTTGCTGTGCGCTCAGTGCGCTCTGCAAGACTGAAGCAGGCCAAGCAGGCCAAGCAGGCCACATGGAGGAACGGTACATGGAGGAACGGTACGTAGATCATGTAAAGGCAGGCTCAAAAAGGGAAGGAGAGCCGCAAAGCCTGCAAAAGGGTCATCATTGTGCATTGTGTGCCATGTGCTGGATCCTAACTCAGAGCTCGGCTAGCGAATTGATGGTGTTGCAAATGAGGTCAAATGAGGGTCAGAGCTAAGGACTCTTCTTTAGGGGACAGCATGGATGCTGGGACTGACCACTTGGCGTCGAGCACCATGTCGCAGTTGAGGTTTTGGGGTGTAGGATGTAGGAGTTCGGTAGGATTTAGCCCCTTCGGGTCGAGGTGTGCGTGTTCAGGGCTTGAGACTAAGACTTAAGGTGAGAGTGCAGGATTCATACTTGATCTCGCGTGCCCGGACTTGGCCTGTCCCTCCGCCTTAACTGCAACAGAATCCCGAGCATCCCCTACAGAGTGTTGAGGTTCAGTGTATTTTAAGCTCTGCAGCTCTGCAACTCCGCCATCAAGCCGCTCTTTCTTTTCCATAACGCTGTCTGCGTGCGAGTCAGGTAAACGCTGTCTGCGACATGGTGAGGGTGCAGTTTCAAGTCACCTCAGGCAATTCTGCATCAAGACGCTCACGAGGCGGCATTGAATCAGAGGCACTCAGCCAAGACTCAGCCAAGACCTCCTCTGCCTGCACTTCTGTAGCACTCCTGGCAGGTGTCATGAGACACATTAAGCAAGATCAGGTTCTTGTGGAAGACCTCAAGGGCCGCCGCATACACCACTTCATCAATGTCGTCATGCCAGCCCATGAGCTCCGATGTGTCATAGCTTGTGTTCGCAGACTTCCCTGGGAAGGTGGGCCGCGTGTTTGCGAAGTCTGAGGCGCGACAAGTCCCCCCGAAGGTTCTGTGAAAAAGGCACATTGACAAGTCCCACTCTTCTGTGATGCCCACAAAGGCAAAACCTTCCGTCACTCTTCGGGCTGCTTCCGCTGCATCTTCTCGCGTCATCTTTGTTCGGTTTGGGTTGTTTATCTGTGCATCTGACGGTGCCAACAGCTGGAATGTCATCCCACCCTTCCATGACTCAGCAAACTCCTGAATGGGCCTTTTCGGCAAAGACATGGCTCGTGCCAGTGCTTCAGGCTCACAAATCCCTTCAACAACAGTTTCGGTAAAGTCTGCATTGGTAGTTGGGGCTGCGAAAGGCAGCTTGTCATGGTAACCCGACAGGATTCGCTGGTCGGGATCTCGGAACATACCAACCAGATGGCCGCGCTGCTTGGAGTAGTTGCCAACCGGATGATGCGGCCTAGCACACAAGAAGTAGTCCATGTTGCACTGCTGCTGACAACCTTGTCCGAACCTGAGGCATGTTGAACATCTAGGGATTGTCAATACCAGTTCCTACAATGTCCATGTCCCTACAGTTCTGGTACAGCAACAAAGCCCATACACCAAAAGCATGCTCGAAGCTGCAGCTTGGCAACCAAGTGTTCAGAAAACAGACGCCTTGGATCTCGGCGCTCATCGTGACGTTGTCCAGCACTGGGCAAAAACCCGGCATGTGGATGATCGCGTTGAGCAGGGAGCTGCCACATTTCCTTGGTTGGGCCCCCCGGAGCCCCGGAAAGAACCTTTATCAGCCAGATCCTCTTAAGACCCACTTAAAGGTCGCTGGTTCACAGTTTCCTTCAAAATCACCTCCGTGTCAAAAAAAGATAAGGTGGGTTCAGTGGGCTCCCAGATCTTGTAAGGATTCCCCAACTCAAAAAAAAACAGAGCCGTCTCATGGTCCATAGCTGTGTTTAAGGACCTTTGAAACAGTCCAAGTGTAACAGTACGAACCTGATCCAATGCCAACTTAGCGTCGGGAAGTGGATCCAATTCAGCGGTGCAGCAGTGCGCAAGTGCTGTTTCCATTGCTCCTCCGGAGCTTCGAGGACCATCTTCTGCTGCAGCAGCTGCAGATGGTCCATGGCCGTGGACTCAAGAGCATGGCCGCGTGCGACTAGGAGGACAAGGAAAGTCGAAAACATGGCTCACAAGGAGGCCCTGCATTTGCAGGAATGGTTCGGTCTCGAGCTGGCACCAGCAGAACTGCCAAGATCTGATACCCAAAAACAATGAAACAAAAGCTTTTCCAGGAGTCTGCAGGCATCTGCCAGCTCATTCGCTCAAATGTCAAGGCCTAGGCTTCCTTGTAACTTCGGGCTTCCGTGGAGGCTTCCGAGGAAGCTTCTGGAGAAGCCTCGCCGTTTGAGAATCTCGCTCTCCGCCTCGCGCTGCTACGCTGTGCTCTCACCGTCCGAAGCTGTCATTGTGGATATGACTTTTTGACATCGCCTTTAAGGGGGTTTTCTGGGCCAAATGCGAAATGGCTGTCCTCACTTTTGGACTTCTCTCGGCTCGGTCTCATGGTCTCCCACTGTTTGGGGTCTTTTTGCTGGCAGACTTGTGGGAATGTTTAAACAACAGTGTAGCCCGTTTAGCCCCCAACAACAACGATAAAATCGCAGAGCCATCGGAGAATTTCTACAGTCTTTCTACAGTCTTTCGGTGTCTTTGCATCCACAGGCCGATGCCTATGAAAGAAAGCAAGAAAGCAAGCTGAGACAGGCTCGGCTGAAGGTAGCATGATGCAACATCTCCCGCTATCGGGGCGGGGTCGGGGGTTATAAAAGCCACAGCTGCCATTGGATCGCGCCCCCTTGGCAGCCGCCGAGTGGACAGGCGCCTGGATGCACGGGGAGGGGGGAGGGGGTGGCAAGCTGGGACATAGGGGCGTTAAGATTGCCAAGGGCATCTGAGTCGCTTTTGTCTCGCGTTGTTTAACGAAAAGGGCGGCATCCCAGGTTTCGAAGCTTTCCACTTTTAGACACAGCCGTTAATGCCCCAGATCGATGAGCAGCTTCGAATCCGAAGACCCAGAAAACCCCTAGCCTGAAGCCGTTTTTAGGCCTTTAAGCCCGAAGCCATTCCATTCACAGCACACAAGCATGACAACATGATTTTGGGCGAGCAAGGGCTTTGGAGTGTGGGTTTTAACTATGGTTTAACACCTGCCATGCTCTTGCAGCAATCCGCTGCCTCTCCGCTCCCATGCTTCAGCCAACGCCACTCCTCCATCTGAGCCCACTCTTGTCACTGCCAGCAAAGCCCTATTGAACGAGGCTCCAAGTGAAAGTGATGCTGGAACACCGCTTTTCAGGGGCCAGTGCAACCCAAAACCCTGCATGTGATCATGCATCTACGCAGAGGATTCGGTACTTGGTTTGAACACAAATCTCGTCGGGCCCTCTACTGCCTGCCTGGGATTAGAAGTCATCGGGATGGGAAATAAGTACGCGTCTTGGCATTTCCCCAAGATCCCTCTACCCAAACCTCACTCCAACAAGAGGCATGCTTCGAGCCAATCGGTTGTTGTCAGCGCCATCAGCATGTCTGAGTAGTCACAGCTACGCTTTGGCAGCTAGAAGAAGCCATGCTACTCGACCACGCGATGACGCTCAGAATGCACATGGTTGGCAGTAGGGCGCGCCGCCATGCGCCGCCGCCACCCACTCCAGCACCATGTCACCATGCTTGCTGATGGGCCGTCACACGAGGTAAAGGAGCTTGGCGGACTCAAGCGTCCTGTTTTGGATTCCACTTTTGCAGCTGAATCGATGCGATGCTCGCTGCCCCTGCTTCCTGCAAGATACACCAGCTGGTTTAGGCGTCGGTCTTGCCAGTGCGGACATGTTGCAGTGACAGCGGCAACCGTTGCAGGTTGGCTCGTCATCGGACAGGGAAGTGCTTGCTCCAAGACGTTCTTCAGACATCGGTCTGGCGCTAATGCCGTCATGGTATGTTGATGGTGGTAACCGGTAACCGCTGCACCGATACCAATACAAGCTTCGCACGGCCTGTGACCAGGCTGGCAGGGTGCAAAGCTTGCCTTCGGAGAGGTGAAATCTTGTCAATAGATTTACTTATTGGCTTGTTCAGAGTTGGCAGCAGAAGCGGCAAAATCAGGGGCGGAGGAAAGCGACTAGCACAATTGCTGCTGGGCTCAACTCTAGCTGTAACCGACAGAACTGACGCTTGCGTGAGCAGGGTGGGGTGTGTGTCAACTCTCCTTGCTACAGACTTCACTCAAGACCCTCCTCCCACAACAGCCTGCCGTGACAGCTGCAACCGACAGAACTGACGCTTGCGGGAGCAGGGGGGGTGTGTGTCATGCCAATGCCTGCATTATTGTACGGTGACAGCGGTAAGCTTCCCACGAACACTTAATGGCCTGTGACCAGGCTGGCAGGGTGCAAAGCTTGCCTTCGGAGAGGTGAAATCTTGTCAATAGATTTACTTATTGGCTTGTTCAGAGTTGGCAGCAGAAGCGGCAAAATCAGGGGCCGGAGGAAAGCGACTAGAACAATTGCTGCTGTGCTCAACTCTCCTTGCTATAGGCTATAGACTTCACTCAAGACCCTCCTCCCACAACAGCCTGCCGTGACAGCTGTAACCGACAGAACTGACGCTTGCGGGAGCAGGGTGGGGTGTGTGTCACATGCCAATGCCTGCAGTATTGTCCGGTGTCGGCGGTAAGCTTCCCACGAACACTTAATGGCCTGTGACCAGGCTGGCAGGGTGCAAAGCTTGCCTTCCGAGAGGTGAGATCTTGTCAATAGATTTACTTATTGGCTTGTTCAGAGTTGGGCAGCAGAAGCGGCAAAATCAGGGGCCGGAGGACAGCGACTAGCACAATTGCTGCTCGGCTCAACTCTCCTTGCTGCAGACTTCACTCAAGACACTCCTCCCACAATAGCCTGCGGTGACAGCTGTAACCGACAGAACTGACGCTTGCGGGAGCAGGGTGGGGTGTGTGTCATGCCAATGCCGGCATTATTCTACGGTGACAGCGGTAAGCTTCGCACAGACACTTAATGGCCTGTGACCAGGCTGGCAGGGTGCAAAGCTTGCCTTCGGAGAGGTGAAATCTTGTCAATAGATTTACTTATTGGCTTGTTCAGAGTTGGCAGCAGAAGCGGCAAAATCAGGGGCGGAGGAAAGCGACTAGCACAATTGCTGCTGGGCTCAACTCTAGCTGTAACCGACAGAACTGACGCTTGCGTGAGCAGGGTGGGGTGTGTGTCAACTCTCCTTGCTACAGACTTCACTCAAGACCCTCCTCCCACAACAGCCTGCCGTGACGCTGTAACCGACAGAACTGACGCTTGCGGGAGCAGGGTGGGGTGTGTGTCACATGCCAATGCCTGCAGTATTGTCCGGTGACAGCGGTAAGCTTCGCACGGACACTTAATGGCCTGTGACCAGGCTGGCAGGGTGCAAAGCTTGCCTTCGGAGAGGTGAAATCTTGTCAATAGATTTACTTATTGGCTTGTTCAGAGTTGGCAGCAGAAGCGGCAAAATCAGGGGCGGAGGAAAGCGACTAGCACAATTGCTGCTGGGCTCAACTCTAGCTGTAACCGACAGAACTGACGCTTGCGTGAGCAGGGTGGGGTGTGTGTCAACTCTCCTTGCTACAGACTTCACTCAAGACCCTCCTCCCACAACAGCCTGCCGTGACAGCTGTAACCGACAGAACTGACGCTTGCGGGAGCAGGGTGGGGTGTGTGTCACATGCCAATGCCTGCAGTATTGTCCGGTGTCGGCGGTAAGCTTCGCACGGACACTTAATGGCCTGTGACCAGGCTGGCAGGGTGCAAAGCTTGCCTTCGGAGAGGTGAAATCTTGTCAATAGATTTACTTATTGGCTTGTTCAGAGTTGGCAGCAGAAGCGGCAAAATCAGGGGCGGAGGAAAGCGACTAGCACAATTGCTGCTGGGCTCAACTCTAGCTGTAATCGACAGAACTGACGCTTGCGTGAGCAGGGTGGGGTGTGTGTCAACTCTCCTTGCTACAGACTTCACTCAAGACCCTCCTGCCACAACAGCCTGCCGTGACAGCTGTAACCGACAGAACTGACGCTTGCGGGAGCAGGGTGGGGTGTGTGTCACATGCCAATGCCTGCAGTATTGTCCGGTGTCGGCGGTAAGCTTCCCACGAACACTTAATGGCCTGTGACCAGGCTGGCAGGGTGCAAAGCTTGCCTTCCGAGAGGTGAGATCTTGTCAATAGATTTACTTATTGGCTTGTTCAGAGTTGGGCAGCAGAAGCGGGCAAAATCAGGGGCCGGAGGACAGCGACTAGCACAATTGCTGCTCGGCTCAACTCTCCTTGCTGCAGACTTCACTCAAGACACTCCTCCCACAATAGCCTTTGGTGACAGCTGTAACCGACAGAACTGACGCTTGCGGGAGCAGGGTGGGGTGTGTGTCATGCCAATGCCGGCATTATTCTACGGTGACAGCGGTAAGCTTCGCACAGACACTTAATGGCCTGTGACCAGGCTGGCAGGGTGCAAAGCTTGCCTTCGGAGAGGCGAAGTCTTTTCAATAGATTTGCTGATTGGGCTTGTTCAGAGTTGGGCAGCAAAAGCCTATCATGACTAGCTGCTGCTGGGCTAAACTGTGCCTCTTTCAGATCGGGTGACGTCCACGCCTTCCAGGGCCTTCCAATAGAGTAGTTCCAGGGCTTGGTGCCCCAGAGTCTGCACAACGGCCCCCGCTGCCAGAAGGTGCATTGAGAAGAGACAGAGGACCCCTACAAGCTGACAGTGACGAGCACGCAACACTCCACAGCTTAAGACGAGCGCTCAGACTGGTGCCCAGGTTACTGAGCCAGAATGGCATATGCTTTCCTCCCAAGCAAGGTCTGTGGGGCGCCGGCACTTTCGCCTGCACTTGCGCTTGGACTGCTTGGGCTGCTTGGACTGCTTGGCCTGCTTGGACTGCATGGTTACGTACCAAGCAAGAGGCTGACATTCCAGCATCGGAAGCATCTGGAGGCAACGGGATCACCTGTGCACCCGTGAACTGGCCCGTGTGGGCACTGGGCTGACTTTGGGGAAGAACCTCGCCACGCCTTCGTGATGGCGCCTGCTGCGGGAGTGCAGGCAGTGCACAGGCTGCGCGGACCGAGAAAGAACATCTTTACC